ATTAAATTATATTACAAAATAATTGTAAAATAAACAAAATAAACAAAGTATATATAAATTTCATTCAGCCTAACCGGTCATTGAAATAGACGAAGATGTCTCCTTATAATAACAAAATGCACGTATAAAGAAAAAATAAAACACATAAAACAATGAAACGCACATTGTATTTAGAAAAATAATTTTTATGTAAAACGGAGAAGATATTGTTTGACGTGTGAAGAAGTTTGTCAAAAGTGTTTTGTCAAAAAAAAATTGAAAACTAGCCATGCCGCTCTGCCACTTGTAGCAACGATGGCTGATTCAAAATTTTACGGTGTTGGAAGGATGATTTTCAAAATTCTTCAAGTCGGTAATTTTTCGGCTTACTTTGCGATTCAAAAAATACAAAATTACAACATTATGACGTAAAATATTTAAAATTATTTCAATATTTACTTTTTTTGTCTGGTGGTGGTGCAATCTTCCAATCCCCCTTCCCACTCTTTGGATGAATCGCTCTACAACAGGTCCATTGTTGGTAAATTCCGTCTAGTACAATAATTATTAATAATTAAATAATAATTATATAATTAATAATTAACAATACAATTATTCAAAAATAGTAATTGTCTTTTCAAACGAGTGAGGAAAATTAATTTCCTCGACAAGTTTTGTTAGACGATCTTGCATTGTCTCTTGTCACGTCGTCACATGTGGCAAGTCTATTGTTTGATTATTTTCTTCAAAGAAGATATACCGTAGATGATGTTTATTGATAGTTTATAGATGATATTTTTATTCTTCTATAATTTATTTTATATTTTGAAATATATTTTAGCAGTAATTTTAATTATTAACCTTATAATTTTATAATCTATTATTATTAGTAGTAATGTCGTTAGTATTGCGACTGATTTGAACTAGTCAGATAATTGATATAAAACAACAACAACAACACACGTTTAGACGACATTTTCCCCGAGATCGGGGGTTGCCGTTTGTCTACCTATGATGAAACCGAAATACCCCTCGACGCCATTCTGCCGGATACTTAGGGCCATTGTCACTTCTGTCATCATAAGTAATTTATTTGGCTAATTTTTACGCAGGACGCCCTTCCTTACGCAACCACAATTATAAGCGGTGGGCCTAGCCTTTGATGATCCAACATCACTCACAAGGCAGTGAGGGTCAGTTTAATGTCATAACCAGGACAGAGTCAGATAATTGATATCCGTGTTATAAATGGGTTTTTATGGTTTTCTTGGCAGAACAACTTTGTTGTTTAATATAAAAAATTTGATTTGTATTTAAAATCAATTTTTATATTGAAAAGTTTCGATAAAAAATTAGATACTCTAAAAAAAAGATTAAATAATGAATGTTCAAATGTTTTCGCATTAATTACAGAACCACACTAAATACGAAATCAATCACATTAATCATCCAATCACATTAATTACTGAATGCTTCTGAACATAAATTAAATCACTTTTCCTAATTCGTTTATTATTCCGCTTAACATTTAAAAAGAGAAAATTTATTCTCAATTTTATAATTTAAAAAAAAACAAAAACACAATTGTGAAACACAGTTATTAAATCATGATAACATATATATCAAATGTGAATAATGATGAAAGAATTAGACAGTTTTCAATAAAATATTGGATGTTCAACGCCAAACTCTTATGCAGTTTAATATAAACTACACTGGTCAACACCCAAAAAATTTCCTAAGGTCTTTCGGCTGATTTATGGAAATTTTGATGTCCTGAATCCAAATATCACATTGGTTTTTCTAGATCAGGTCAACTTTCTAAGCTATGGCCATATCTTCATTTTCACTTTTTTGTGTACAGTCCCAGGTATTTTCGCTGTATGTGATGCTTTGTTCTTAATCACTTCATCAATATGAGGAATTTGCAATTTTTAATTAATTGGTATTTTTATGTTTCCCCTATGCACACACACACACACACACACACACACACACACACACACGTTCAATGCATTAAATCACGTAACTACAGTCACGTGATCAGACAATCGCAGACATGCCCGGACGAGGCTGTGTATAACTATGGATAGTTACGTCAGCATTTTCCAAATCTGAGCCATATAGCAGATTGCATTAGTATAGGTATCAGTTGCAAACGAATCGCAAGCGAACGACATGGCTTCCAAGAGAAGATCTTGTAAAAATAAACCCGACGTATTTTGCTATATCTGCGGTGAATACACACTTGTTCATAACAGGAATCAAGTCACATGTTTCATAAAGCGTGCTTACCATGCTTATTTTGGTATTAAACTTGGTGACCAGGATAAAGATTGGGCGCCACACATGGTATGCAAGGCTTGCACCGTGTATCTGCGTCAGTGGACCAAGGGCAAGAAGACGTGTCTGAAGTTTGGAATTCCCATGGTTTGGCGGGAGCAGAGAAACCATGACACTGACTGCTACTTCTGTAGCATCGATCTGACTGGGATAAACAGAAAGAACCGAAGCAGCCTCGAGTATCCTGATTTGCAGTCCGCACGTCGTCCTGTAGCTCATTGTGATGATATTCCAGTACCTGTGTTTCACAAACTTCAAGACATCAGTGATGACGAATCCTCCAGTGATGAAGATCAGGAAACAGAAGAAGAATGGCCAGTTGTTGACGATGAAACTCCACAGCTTTTTTCCCAACAGGAGCTAAATGATCTAGTTCGCGACCTCAGCTTGTCAAAGGCCTCTGCTGAACTGTTGGCATCCAGATTGAAAAAAAACCTCCTCTCTGGCTGTGCTCGCATCACCCTGTACCGCAACAGGCATCAAGAGTACCTCCAATTTTTCTCGGAGGTGCAGGACTTGGTGTACTGCACAGATATTGCACAGCTTCTGCACCACCTGGGAGTGCCGCAGTACAAGCCCGAAGACTGGATACTGTTCATTGACAGCAGCAAGCGGTCACTGAAATGTGTTCTACTGCACAACGGCAACCAGTTTGCCTCTGTGCCCCTTGCTCACTCTACTAAACTGAAGGAGAAGTATGAAGCGGTGAAGTATGTGCTGGAGATGATTCGTTATGATCAGCATAAGTGGGTTATTTGTGTCGACCTGAAGATGGTGAATTTTTTGTTGGGGCAACAATCCGGGTTCACCAAATACCCAGGTTTTCTGTGCATGTGGGACAGTAGAGACAGGATACTCTTCCCACCACTGCACATCAAGCTTGGCTTGATCAAGCAGTTCACAAAAGCTCTAGACAAGGAAGGTGGCTGCTTCAATTACATGTGCCAGACATTTCCGGGAGTAACCATAGTGAAGTTAAAAGCTGGTATCTTTGACGGTCCTCAAATCCGTCGGCTCATCAGAGATCCAGAGTTTGAAAAGTCAATGAACAAAGTGGAACAGGAAGCATGGAATGCTTTTGTTCTCGTTGTGAAAAACTTCCTTGGCAACAACAAGGCCAGAAACTATGCTGAACTTGTCAACAATATGGTGACTGCTTTCAAAAAACTCGGATGCAACATGAGCATCAAACTGCATTATCTATTTTCACATATGGATCGTTTTCCTGAGAATCTTGGATCAATGAGCGACGAGCAGGGAGAGGGATTCCACCAGGAGATGAAGGAGATGGAGACCAGGTATCAGGGACGTTGGAATGCCGTCATGATGGCTGATTACTGCTGGACTCTAAAGAGAGACATCCCTGATGCTGAGCATTCCAGGGTATCCAATAAACGGAAGTTCCAGCCCTAAATTCTTAACAATGACAAACATTAATGACCCTTACTTAAGGTACTGTGTTTCAGAACGCTTTTTTCTCTTTGAAACCAATTCCGAATGAGAAATGTTCATAGAAATAAACCGATTATGGCACAAAAATTTTACTGATTTATTCACAAATAAAATAAAATAAACATTTAACTTAGCAGAAAAACTGGACCTGACCTAGAGAAACGGATGTCATTTTCGGACTCAGCGGTGCCAAATTATCATAAATCAGTTGTAAAAAATTAGGAAATTTCCTCAAAAATATTTTTGTTGCTCAGTGCTATCATTATTTGAACTGCAAAATTTTTATAAATCAAGAGAATTGAAAAATCGTTAAATTTATTGTTTAAATTACTGTAATGTGATCAAAGTTGTATATATGGAAAAGTTTTATTTCAAACTACGTGCACACGTTGCACAAATATCACAAATTAAAAGGCATAGATGATAGAATGAAAAGATTTCTTCTACCAAAAATGAATGAAGTAAAAAGTTATTCGATGAGTGTACATCAATTCCATGACAGAAGTAAATAAAATCATGCTTAAATTTTATTTGAAATAATTGAAATCCTCTAAGAAAGTTGAATACATGATATGAATGAACATTACAAACATGAATGAACATTACATGTTTGTAATGTTTGATGCTGTCCATACCGCTGATAAATACTCAAGAAATAATTGTAATGGGCAAATAGTAACAACATTACATTAGGATTGAACTATTATAAACGCCATTTCTATCGATAAGTTTTAGATTTATAATATTTAAAAAATGTTCATCTGGTTACTATTATCATTACTATTACTA